CCTACCTACTAACCTCATCCCGCCCCCTTGAGCTGTCCGTCCTCCCTGGACTGACCTATATCCTCCCTACCTCCCCATCTACACTCACCTTTACTGGCTCCATCCCTGCCTCTTTGACCGGTCTGTCTCCTCTCCACCTATCTTCTCCTCTATCCATCTTCTATCCGCCTCCCCCTCTCTCCCTATTTATTTCAGAACCCCCTTCCCCTCCCCCATTTCTGAAGAAGGGTCTAGACCCAAAACATCAGCCTTCCTGCTCCTCTGATGCTGCTTGGCCTGCTGTGTTCATCCAGCTCCACATCTTGTTATCTCAGATTCTCCAGCATCTGCAGTTCCTACTATCTCTTGAATGAGGAAGTGGAAGGGTGGGTTAGTAAGTTTGCCAATGACATGAAGGTTGGTGGAGTTGTGGACAGCGTGTAGGGCTGTTGCAGGTTGCAATGGGACATTGACAGGATGCAGAGCTGGGCAAAGAAGTGGCAGATGGAATTCAACGCAGAAAAGTGTGAAGTGATTCATTTTGGAAAGTTGAATTTGAATGCAGAATACAGGGTTAATGACAGGATTCTTGGCAGTGTGGAGGAACAGAGGGATCTTGGGGTCCACGTCCATAGATCCCTCAAAGTTGCGACCCAAGTCGATAGGGTTGTAAAGAAGGCGTATGGTGTGTTGGCTTTCATTGACGGGAGAATTTAAGAGCCGTGAGGTTATGCTGCAGCTCTATAAAACTCTGGTTAGACCATACTTAGAATATTGTGTTCAGTTCTGGTCGCCTCATTATAAGAAAGATGTGGAAGCTTTAGTGAGGGTGCAGAGGAAATTTACCAGGATGCTGCCTGGACTGGAGGGCAGGTCTTATGATGAAAGATTGAGGGAGCTAGAGCTTTTTTCATTGGAGCGAAGAAGGATGAGAGGTGACTTGATAGAGGTGTACAAGATGATGAGAAGCATAGATAGAGTGGATAGTCAGAGACTTTTTCCCAGGGTGGAAATGAATATTACAAGGGGGCATAATTTTAAAGTGATTGGAGGAAGGTATAGGGGAGATGTCAAAGGTAGGTTCTTCACACAGAGAGTGGTGAGTGTGTGGAATGTGCTGCCGGCGTTGGTAGTGGAGTCAGATACTTTAGGGACATTTAAGCGACTCTTGGATAGGCACATGGAGGATAGTAAAATGTAGGGTATGCAGGGTAGATTGATAGAACATAGAACATAGAACAGTACAGCACAGTACAGGCCCTTCGGCCCACGAACTTTTACCCGAAACCTAAGGTCTATCTAACCTCCACCGCTACCTTATACTATCATCCATATGCCTATCTAATATACGCTTAAATGACCCTAATGAGAGCGACTCCACTACCCTCTCTGGCAATGCATTCCACGTCCCGATCACTCTCTGAATAAAGAACCTACCTCTGACGTCTCCCCGATATCTACATCCTTTCACTTTAAAACTATGTCCCCTCATAAAAGCTACCTCCACCCCAGGAAAATGTCTCTGGCTGTCTACTCCATCTATACCTCTGATCATTTTGTACACCTCTATCAAGTCACCTCTCATCCTTCGTCGTTCTAAAGAGAAGAGCCCTAGCTCTCTCAACCTTTCCTTGTAAGACCTTCCCTCCATTCCAGGCAACATCCTGGTAAATCTCCTCTGCACCTTTTCTAACGCTTCCACATCTTTCCTGTAATGAGGCGACCAGAACTGGACACAATACTCCAGATGTGGCCGAACCAGGCTTTTGTATAGCTGGAGCATAACTTCACGGCTCTTGAACTCAATCCCTCTATTAATGAAAGCTAACACACCATACGCCTTCTTAACAACTCTATCCACCTGGGTGGCATGTTTCAGGGAACTGTGAACATGAACCCCAAGATCCCTCTGCTCCTCCACATTGCCAAGAATCTTTCCGTTAACCCTGTATTCTGCTTTCAAGTTTATCCTTCCAAAATGAATCACCTCACACTTTTCAGGGTTAAACTCCATCTGCCACTTCTCAGCCCAGCTCTGCATTCTATCAATGTCCCTTTGTAACCTAGAACAGCCATCCGCACTGTCCACACGTGACCCACCTTCATATCGTCCGTGAACTTGCTAATCCACCCTTCCACTCCTTTATCCAAATCATTTACAAAAATCACAAATAGAAGAGGACCTAGAACAGATCCTTGTGGTACACCACTCGTAACTGAGCACCACGTTGAATATTTTCTGTCCACTACCACCCTTTGTCTTCTAAGGGTCAGCCAATTCTGAATCCAATCTGCCACATTTCCCCCTATCCCATGCCTCCTTACCTTCTGCATGAGCCTACCATGGGGAACCTTATCAAATGCCTTACTTAAATCCATGTATAAAATGATATAATATATATAATATTTATATATTATAATATATATTATAATATATATAATATATGTAATATATATTCCGATCTTCGTTGGATATTAGGTTTGCACAGCATCGTGGGGCCGAAGGGCCTGTACTGTGCTGTACTGTTCTGTATTCTATGTTATATGTTCTATGTTGCTGCCATTCAGGTTGGGATAGCACACCTGACAATTCACACGTTCCCTTTTGCTTCCACAGGGCCAAGAGGTTTTCCAGGAAACCCTGGCAGACCAGGAAATATCGGCTTTGATGGGTTCAAAGGCCTGAAAGGAGAAGCAGGCCTTTGGTCGTATGCTGGAGCGCCAGGTGTGAAGAGAGAAGACCTTAACATCTCAGACTAGCTAATGTTCTTTTGTCTGTCCTCGAAAAAAAATTCTGTTTGTAAATTGCAATTCAGAAACAATGTAGTTGCTCTGTGTAAGAGAGATTAAGCAGTTTAGGCCTATACTGTCTGGAATTTAGAAAATGAGAGGAGATCTAACTGAGTTTTATAAGATGCTAAAGGGGATTGACAAAGTAAACATAGAGAGGATGTTTCATCATTTGGGGCAATCTAGAATGAACGGCCATGGTTTTAGGATAAGGGGTAGTAGATTAGAGTGGAGAATTTACTTCTTTCAAAGGGTTGTGAATCTGTGAAATTCACTTATATAAAGTGCAGTCAATGCTGGGACATTGAGTAAATTTAAGGAAGAGATAGACAGATTTTTAATTAGTAATGTGTTAAAGAGTTATGGAGAGCAGGCAGGAAAGTGGAGTTTTTTTTATTCATTTGTGGGATGAGGGCATCGCTAGCTGGGCCAGCATTTATTACCTGTGCCTATTGCCCCTTGAGAAGGTGTGGTGAGCTGCCTTCTTGAACCACTTCAGTCTACCTTCTGTGGGTTGACACACAATGCCATGACGGAGGGAATTCCAGAGCGAGATACGATCAGCCGCAATCATATTAAGTGGCAGAGGAGCTCCAAGGGCTGAATTGCCTACTCCTGCTCTTGCTCCGAGTTCTTCTACTTTTGTGTAAGTGGGCAGTATTAGCTTGTTTTGCCACTGAACTTGCTTTATCTGAAATCAAAGTGCTAAACAATCTATATATGCTAATAAGAGATATAGCTTACAATTGTATTATAGATTTCTAAGCTCTAACTGTTCGGGCAATAGGTCTCCTTTTACCTCTGCTTTTAGACTCTCGCATTGTGCTGAATGAATTAATCTAAAACAGAATCAGAATGGGAACACCACGTTTGGCTTTCATTCTGTCCAGTTTTCTCTTACTGTTGTGCACTATTTCAATCTATTTTTCATATTCACTATTTACCTCAATATTTCTTTTCTCTCCTTTCTTAATCAGTACTTTTATGGCCTTTTTCTGGATGTGCATTTTGAATGATGTCTAAGTTCTCTCTCAAAGAGTCGCGACTGCCTTGCTGTAAATGTACCATCCTACCTGCAGCTCCTCCATGCTGCATCCTTACTTTGTAAAGGCTTACCACAACCTCTGACATGGACCTGTTTCTCCCAAGACCAGTAGTTCAGTAATTGGCATAACTTAAATCCCTTACTTTTTCTTTCTTCACACAATCTGTCAGATTTCCACACCCAAATTTAGGAATGGGGGCAGAGAGATCACGTTTTAGGGACCAGGCGGGGATTTGGAACACTGTTCAATTCTGGTCTCCCTGCTGCAGGAAAAATGTTGTGAAACTTGAATGGGTGCAGAAAAGGTTTGCAAGGATGTTGCTGGGGTTGGAGGGTTTGCGCTATAGGAAGAGACTGTTTTCCCTGGAGTGTCGGAGGCTGAGGGCTGACCTTATAGAGGTTTATAAAATCATGAGGGGCATGGATTGGGTAAATAACCAAGGTCTTTTGCCCAGGGTAGGGGAATCCAAACCTAGAGGGCATAGGTTTAACATGAGAGGGGAAAGATTTAAAAGGGACCTAAGGGGCAACTTTTTCACGCAGAGGGTGGTGTTTGTATGGAATGAGCTGCCAGAGGAAGTGGTGGAGGTGGGTACAATGACAACATTTAAAAGACATTTGGATGGATATATGTATAGGAAGGGTTTAGAGGTAAATGGGCTAAATGCTGGCAAATGGACTAGATTAATTTAGGATATCTGGTTGGCATGGACAAGTTGGACCGAAGGGTCTGTTTTATGCTGTATGACTCTGTGACTCTATAACATCTTGGGAGAATGCATTTTTGTGCACAGGGCACCCTCCAATCGATGTATCTCCCTTTATTTCTGTTTTCCAACAAAATTGTTTGAAAAACCAGATGACCTATTCTTGCCTACCTGCCCATACCAACTACAATATCGGTGGATAATGTTTGGGTCAAATGGCTTCAAATTAAGCTAACTTGTTTATTATTGATTTTTTTTAAAAAGAGGTTGAGCTACCAATTTTAGATATTCTTGGGACTCAGGATGGATGAAGATGAGGTGGGAGAGCCACCCATCATATTACCATGCTATAAGAGCCAGTGTAGACATTCTGCCCAATAAGCCTGCCCCACCATTTGATAGCATCAAGACTGATCCGATTGTGGCCTTAACTCCTCTTTCCTGTCAGTCCCCCATAACCTTTATCTCCCTTGTAGATCAAAAATCTGTCAAAATCAACCTTCAATATATTCAATGAGCCAAAAAATAACAAGCCTCAGAGAAATAATTCTTCCTCATCTCTATCTAATATTGGAACTCTCTTACATAAAAACTGTAGCCCCTCTCTTCCCCATGTGGGGAAACACCCTCTCAAAATCTATCCTGTCAGACTAACACCCCCCATTTAATCAGAATCTTACATGTTTCAAGGAGATCACCTTCCATCCTTCTAAAGTCTATTGAGTAAAAACCCAACATTTTTTACCTTCCCTCGTCTCAGCAACCAGCCTAGTGCATCTTCTCTGAACTGTAGCTGCTGCAAATATATCTCTCCTGAGTAAGGTGATCACGTCTATACAGATGCAGTTTCACCAATGACCCAAACTGTTGGAGCAAGCCTTCCCTACTAGCAGTATTTCGGGACAAACCAGTCAGATTTGGAAAGGTTAACAATATTTGAGAAGCGAGTAGTAAAGGCCAAGAAAGATTGGTAATATCCAGCAGGATACAAGTGGACAATTCAGGAAGGTAATGGTACTGTAAAGGTAAACAGCGATAATCTGTCTCACAAGCATCTCCAGTAGCATAATTCTGGCAATGACATTTGGGAGGGTAAAATGACTATTCAGGGAAGGCAGCGATTGGGTGAGGGTGTTAGACAATAATACAGTACTGGTTAAACTGTAGTTTTTAATTTGACTGTCTAACATGTCGGCTGTTCCTGGGAACAGTGCAGCTAAGTGCCACCTTCTGGTTTCTCAGGTTTTCAAGGCTTGACTGGTGACCCAGGTCCTCAAGGACCTCCTGGACCAACAGAAAATGGAGCTCCAGGCTCTCCGGGTGCTCCTGGTATTCCAGGGGAAAAAGGCCCACCTGGTGATTCGTACGATGGTCCTCCAGGGAACCCTGGACCTCTTGGAAGAAGAGGATCATCAGGTGCAGTAGGAGATATTGGAAATCCAGGACCACCAGGAAGGCAAGGTAAGTTCCAAAAGCCAATTCTTACATTGCTGTTTCAGTTATGCAAATAAATTTGTCCCAATGCTTCATTCTTAATTGGTTGCAATGGCATTTGATGTCTTAAATTGATTTTATTCATATCTCTGTTTTGAAATGAACTTGATAGCACCTGGCATCTTCACTACAGTATAGTGGCCCAATAAATGGGATATAATCAGTACATAATGCTCTACAATTGGAGCAGAAATTTCTCAGGAAATTGTTTACTTTTGGAATGAGTCTAATTTATCAGGTTTAAAGCATCAAAAACTGTGTGGAGGGTAAACTCAGACAGCAGTAACTGTACAGAAAGCACTTTTTCATGATCTGTGATAATTGGAAATAAAGTAAATATGTTGATGTTAAATTAATCAATTTACTCGCAGATTTAAATATTTAATGCATTAATATGCATCAGTGTAATTGAGCCTCTCTCTTAGGAAACCACTTCCCCTTTTTATTCCTGTTTGCTGGTGTATTGGGCAGTTTAGTGAGTTAGCCAACAGGTCATGAACATGCAAGAATTTGAATGAAATTAAGATTGTAGCCTTCATGTAAATGAATAAAGCAAAAGGAGACATTTGGTTCTATACACAGTGACATGTAGCTGTTAGTAATGGAGGTAATAGGACCCAAAAAGAAGGTGCAAAAACTGGCATAAGGGCATTTTATCTGAATGCTCGGAGCACTCGAAAGAAGATGGACGATTTGACGATGCAAATCATGGCAAATGGGTATGATTTAGTGGCCATTACAGAGACATGGTTACAGGATGGTCATGACTGGGAGTTAAATATCCAGGGGTATCAAACTGTTCGGAAGGACAGACGGGAAGGTAAGGGAGGTGGTGTTGCTCTGATTTTTAAGGATGATATCAGGGCGGTAGTGAGAGATGATATAGGTTCTACTGAACAAAATGTTGAATCCATTTGGGTGGAAATTAGGAATAGCAGGGAGAAGAAGTCACCGATAGGTGTGGTCTATAGGCCACCAAATAATGACATCGTCGTGGGGCAGGCAATAAACATAGAAATAGCTAATGCATGTAAAAATGGTACAGCAATTATCATGGGGGATTTTAATCTACATATCGATTGGTCAAACCAGGTCGGTCATGGCAGCCTTGAGGAGGGTTTCATAGAATGCATCCGAGATAATTTCCTTGAACAATATGTAATGGAACCTACGAGGGAGCAAGCTATCCTAGATCTAGTTCTGTGTAATGAGACAGGAATAATTAATGATCTCACAGTTAGGAATCCTCTTGGAAAGAGCGATCACAGTGTGGTCGAATTTAAAATACAGATGGAGCGTGAGAAGGTTAAATCCAGTACCTATGTCCTGTGCTTAAACAAAGGAGACTATGAAGGAATGAGGGAGGAGTTAGCTAAGGTAGAATGGGAGCAAAAACTTTGTGGTGGGTCAATTGAGGAACAGTGGAGGACTTTCAAAACGATTTTTCACAGTGCTCTGCAGAAGTATATTCTAGTGATAAGGAAGAACTGTAGGAAAAGAGAGAGCCAGCCATGGATGTCTAAGGAAATAAAGGAAAGTATCAGATTGAAAAAAAAACACATACAAAAACGCAGAGAGTAGTGGGAAACTAGTAGACTGGGAAATCTTTAAAGGCCAACAGAAAGCCACAAAGGAAGTTATAAAGAAAAGTAAGATAGATTATGAGAGTAAACTAGCTCAGAATATAAAAACAGGCAGCAAAAGTTTCTATAAATATGTAAATTGTAAAAGAGTGGCGAAGGTAAACATTGGTCCTTTAGAGGATGAGAAGGCCAATTTAATAACTGGGAATGAGGAAATAGCCGAGACATTAAACAGTTATTTCGTGTCGGTCTTCACTGTGGAAGACACAAATAACATGCCGAAAACTAATGGCAAGAAGGTTATAGCAGGTGAGGATCTAGAAACTATCATCATCACTAAGGAGGCAGTGCTGGGCAAGCTAATGGGGCTAAAGGTAGACAAGTCTCCTGGCCCTGATGAAATGCATCCCAGGGTAGTAAAAGAGGTGATGGGGGAAATAGCAAATGCACTAGTAATTATTTACCAAAACTCACTGGACTCTGGGGTGGTTCCCGCAGATTGGAAAACAGCCAATGTGACGCCACTGTTTAAAAAAGGAAGTAGACAAAAAGCAGTAACTATAGGCCAGTTAGCTTAACTTCGGTAGTGGGGAAAATGCTTGAATCTATCATTAAGGAAGAAATAGCAAGACATCTGGATATAAGTTGTCCCATTGGGAACACCCAGCATGGGTTCATGAAGGGTAGGTCATGTTTAACTAATTTGGTGGAATTCTTTGAGGACATTACTTGCATGGTGGACAGTGGGGAACCTGTGGATGTGGTGTATCTGGATTTCCAGAAGGCATTTGACAAGGTGCCACACCAAAGGCTCCAATGTATTGGCATGGATAGAGGATTGGTTGACCAGTAGAAAGCAAAGAGTAGGGGTAAATGGGTGTTTTTCTGGTTGGCGGTCAGTGGCTAGTGGTGTGCCTCAGGGATCAGTGTTGGTACCGCAATTGTTTACAATTTACATAGATGATTTGGAGTTGGGGACTAAGTGTGGTGTGTCAAAATTTACAGATGACACTAAAGTGAGTGGTAGAGCAAAGTATGCAGAAGACACTGAAAGTCTGCAGAGGGATATAGATAGTCTAAGTGAGTGGGCAAAGGTCTGGCAGATGGAGTACAATGTTGATAAGTGTGAGGTCATCCATTTTGGTAGGAATAACAGCAAAATGGACTATGTTTTAAATGGTAAAAAATTGCAGCACGCTGCTGTGCAGAGGGACTTGGGTGTCCTTGTGCATGAATCACTAAAAGTAGGATTGCAGGTGCAGCAGGTAATTAAAAAGGCAAATGGAATTTTGTCTGCCATTGCTAGAGGGATGGAGTTTAAAAACAGGGGGGCTATGCTGCAGCTGTATAGGGTCCTGGTGAGGCCACACCTGGAGTACTGTGTGCTGTTTTGGTCTCCTTACTTGAGAAGAGATATACTTGCACTGGAGGGGGTGCAGTGGAGATTCACTCGGTTGATTCCAGAGTTGAGAGGGTTGGATTATGAGGAGAGACTGAGTAGACTGGGATTATACTCATTGGAATTCAGAAGAATGAGGGGAGATCTTATAGAAACATATAAAATTATGAAGGGAATAGATAAGGTGGAGGCAGGGAAGTTGTTTCTGCTAGCAGGTGAAACTAGGACTAGAGGGCATCGCCTCAAAATAAAGGGAAGCAGATGTAGGACTGAGGTCAGGAGGAACTTCTTCACCCAAAGGGTTGTGAATCTGTGGAATTCCCTGCCCAGTGAAGCGGTTGAAGCTACCACGCTGAATGTTTTTAAGACAAGGCTAGATAAATTTTTGAACAGTAAAGGAATTAAGGGTTATGGTGAGTGGGCGGGTAAGTGGAGCTGAGTCTCAAAAAGATCAGCCATGATCTTATTAAATGGCGGGGCAGGCTCGAGGGGCCGGATGGCCTACTCCTGCTCCTAGTTCTTACGTTCTGACATTGAATCATTGACAAACAACATGCATCCTGATGTGTTATATATTGTTAGACTTAGTAAAAATATACATATTTATTGTCATTTAAAGAGCATGAGAGGTCCAGATATGAATCAAAATGAATCTTCATTTACAACTACACTTTGAGTTAAATATTGGTTATTTCAATCATTGTGTAAATCAAACTCTAAAAATTCAAGTAATATTCCTCTCTCTCAGCCTATCTTTGCATGCTTTGGAAAGAAATAGAGAGCATTTTTTTTTAGATCACTCAGGCTGAAGGATGTTTGAATTAAGGCCTATTTAACATCTTATTTCCTTATTATTCTTGACTGGAGAGTTGACTAATTAGTACCTTATGTCTAAGAATAAATCCGAAATATTTATTGGCCATTTTCCAATCTCCTGGTTCTTATAATTTTAACACAATCGTTCTGTAGTATTTTGCAGGCTTGCTCATCTCATTTCTTGCTATTTCCAATCAGCCATGATAAATATTGTTCAGCATTGAAATTCCAATGCCAATTTATTGAATAGAACAAAGAGTTGAACCTGCCCTCAATGCTTTCTTTTTGTCATTTGCTGATTAATGCACTTACTTTAACTTTCTGTTTGCACAATTTCAACACACCAGCTGATACATTTATTCTTAGGTTAATGATTTTATAAAGAAATCCACTGCACTAAAATATCACATTGGGAATGTCTTTCCAGACCAAAGTAGATTTATTATTTTGGTTTTGCGTACAGGACACTAATGATAAATGCGTATAATTGCGCATCCTGTCCGAAATTCTCCTTTAAACCAATTCAACTATGGTGCCGAGATATCAGAATAAAGAATTTAAGAGGCCTATGTTAAACTGTTTCTAAACAGTTGTCCTGTAATGACAACATATTGAGGTTGAGAGTATAAACGATGGGCACCTACAGGGAGAGAGTTTGGGGGGAGGGGAATGTTCAGGGAGAGTGTGTTGGGGAGGGGTATGTTCAAGGAGAGAGTGTGGGGGAGGGTAGTGTTCAGGGAGAGTTTGTGAGGTGGGGGAGTGTGTGGAGGAGGGTAGTGTTCAGGGGGAGTGTGTCGGGGAGGGTAGTGTTCAGGGAGAGAGTGTGGGGGAGGGGAATGTTCAGGGAGAGAGTGTAGGGGAAGGAAATGTTCAGGGAGAGAGTGTGGGGGAGGGGTATTTTCAGGGGGAGAGTGTGGGGGAGG